CGATCTAACAACGTTCAATGCATGCAATGTATATTCTAATTTTGGCATACAAATGTGTCACTAGATACAAATGTGTTTATATTTTTGTTAAATTACAAAAGTGGCCTATTGAAATATTTCTGAGGTCTGCCTGACATGGCGCAATAACTCGTGAATAAAAGGTGGATTAATAATGCTAAATATATTACTCATTGCGGATGTAGTATCGAAAATAATATCGCTAGTGATATTCGTTAGTCTCGCAATGTATGGTCAACAAGGGATCTAAAAGATCACGACGTTTCGTGCGCCGCTGCAACACTTCGTCAGGTGATAAAATTTATTGTAAGCAAGCGTGTGTTATACTGTATACGGATGGATTCTTCCTCCAAAGTAATATTCGTTATGATCTCAGATTACAGGGAAATTAGAATAGGCTTATATTTAGTTTGCTTGGCTTTGAGAAAGATCGATATACCTGTTTACTAGGCCTATGCCTTCTTTAAAATTTCAAACAAATATATTGATTGCTAGAAGCTCGTCCGACATAGCAATAACTAATATATGCCAAGTAACTTTCATCTACAAAGATGACATTATTCATAGCAGGTGGATGAAATGGCTGTTAAAAATTAAGGAAGAGAAACATGCATAAATCACTAAACATGTTTGACTAAACTGGTCTGATGAGTCTCATACATAATTATGCATACGTGCCCTAAAATGGCTACTCTAAACCAAATTGTCTAGAGATTTAGAAATTTCATTCAAATGTGTACCACTGGTACTTCCAAGAGCCCAACTATTCATACACATAGGCCATATATTCATAATGTAATCGCGTGTAGCGCACAAATCTTTCTTAAATGCCTCGTTACAAATTATTTCAGTCACCTGTTACGATTACTTGCATTTAAATAGTAAGAATGGAAATTAAATACATGATGTGTAGTTAGGACAAGCCATAATGCTTGTCATACCTAGCAACAATTAATGTATGCAATTCACCCTCTGACTATTTAGATATACAGGGGCGGATCTAGGGGGCTGGGCGGTTTACCCCCCCCCCCCCCTTGGGCGGCCAAGTGAACAAAAAGGGGGGAAAAGAAGAATAAAAAGAAAGACAACAAGGAAAACAGTAAAACGGCGCGATTTTGGGGAAATCCTGGATCCGCCACTCGGTCAACCACCCCCCCCCCCCTCTCCTCGGCAAAAAGCTAGATCCGCCCCTGCTATACTTATTCGTAACAGGTGAGAATAAGAAAATATCGAAACGGATCACGTAGAAATAGGAAAGTTAGCAAACCGCTTTAGTTTTGCAGATGACATCGTACTGGTATCAAAGTAAAAAAAGCTGAATGCAAACATACTTTAACAATGGTTAGGAGAGTAGTTGGCTGTTGAATGTAAATTAGACAAAGCGAAACTTTCGATAATAACAAAATCAATATAAAAGATATTAAAACAGCAGTATTCCAAAGTTACTGGTATAAACATACAGGTTGTTCAAGTTCAAATTCATTTTTATTTTCCACATTTGTATATGTAATTGTATTTTTTCAAATAAATAATAGAATTGCCTGTAATGTACATCCTTTATCAATAAACTAAATTAATATAACCCAAAACTATAACAATGATAATAGTAAAGTATACAAATCTATTACAACATAATGAATAGGTTTAAACTTGTTATTATGCATTGGGTAACGTATACAATGGAGGGGTCTGCAGTAAAGCAAGACTAGTTGTGGATAGCCCCGGAGAATAAATAATTTACATTGAAGAAAACACGGGCATTCGGTCTTAATCGTATTGCGTTCACATTTTATGCAGGTATCTTAGACCGGTTACTAACATATTCGAATTCTATGCATATATTTTAATTAAAGGTTATTCTTGGAAACAAGAACGCCTGTCCGAGGCTCGCTTGACATAGCAACAGATAATATATGCAGACTGGATTCCAAGTATTGTAGTTATTCATTATTAATAGGTTAAGGGTAACTTGTCACTAGGACCTCAGGAAAGAAACATCCATAACTTTAAATATGTTAGTAAACCGATTTATTAAAGGGATAGTTGAGTTCTGTTTTCAGACCGCAAATGCCTTCAAAGTGCATGGTTATTGCTCTTATTCTTATCTATGACATTTCTAGTGCCCTTTTAGAACCTAAAATTGCTATGAAGGTAATTTTAGAACCCAAAATGTGTGAAATTTAGCCGATACGAGCATACCAATTCAGCTCCACTTTTAAAAAAAAAAACACGGTGACCGTTAATTAATTATTTAATTAAAATTACCAATGCATCGGCCGGCTGGTTGTGCGTAATATAAGCAATACAAAAATGCCAACAAAAAAACCTTCATCGGAATTGGCTGAAATACGACGTAAAATGCGTTATTTCGTTTTTTCAACGGTTTTTTCTAAAACAAGTATTAGAAATCGTTATATTTCAGCCGTCTCTGAACCGATTTTGATCAAAAAAAGATGATTTTGTCATTTGAATATTATATTCTTTCAAATTTGACAATCAGTTTTTCATTATCTCACAAAAAAGTAGCGCCCTCTGCAACAGAACTCAACTATCCCTTTAATATCAGACGAGCCACATTGTTTTCTGATCATAAACTTCATTCGGACAGACTGTACACTACGAATTTTATGCACACTTCTTGAACAAATGATTCTCTTGACAAGGCGTGTCCTCGACATGCCAGACATAGCACCACATAATATATGCAAAGTGGAGTATACCTTTAGAGATCCCTCTATATGTAGATATTAAATAGGGGTTGTGGTGAAGAAAAAAATGCATAAATGGAAATAAAGCTACGGTCACAAAGGTATGTATGAATCTGCCTGTTTTTCCATTGTCTTTCCGAATGTCCATTGTCTGAAAATCGTTCGTACGGCGTTCGTAGCAGTTCGTAATGGCATTTGTGACCGAGGCTTTTATTAGAAAACGGGTCATTTATCACTGAGTGTAAAATGAATCTTAATGTGCACTCCGTCAATTTCAAGGATGACGAATAAGGGCCATTCCGTAATAGTATTTTTATTGTCTGAAGCCTTCTTGCATGTATTAGTGTTTGCTTTATCGGGCATGCAGAATGCTAATTCTTAGGTCAGGAATAGCCCACGTCTCGGATATTAATACAAATGTCATTACAGTGAGTGACCACGGTCTATATCCCTTGTGCAAGCTATCCCTGACATAGAAAAAGATAACATGTAGCATGTATCATTCCAGTGACCACTAAGACGGGTGTTAATGTATTCCCATGTTCGTAACATAATCAAATAATGCACAAATCTTTGTTATGTTTGTTATATTTCAAGTAACATTCGTGTTGCTAGGTAGGACAAGGCATAAGTGTTGTCCTACCTAGCAACAATTAATGAACATGGAATTCCATTCTTACTATCGAAATACAATTATATGAAACAGGTGAATGAAAGAATTTGTAACATGGCATTTAACAAAGATTCATGCATTAAATTTACGAAAAAGGTCTATTTTGCTATGTGGCGTCATTATGCGTGCTTATGAAATATCATCTTGTAATTATTTGATATGTCTATTGTATCTCGTAAAATATGCTTTTCATGTATCTATGTTATTTGATATTTTTAATGACATTTTTAATGATATTATGATTATATTATATTTCATTATAAGTATTTTGTGTTGTTGTTGTTGTTGTTGTTTTAGTCTTAAGGGCGTGTGTCATTCAATTATGAATATTTACGTGTTTAATTCATTTAATTGTCTTGAAAAGCGTGCAGCTGCAACTGATTGGTTCCATACACAAGCAATGGCAAGAAGGGGAAGATGAAGAACGTATATGTGTTATCTCAGGCAAAGAATGATGGTTAAGTAATATAAAAATAACAGTATAATGCAGCATGGAGAATAAATATAAATTGACAATTCACCATGCAAATTCCGAGGCAAGGGCATGCTAAAATAACACAGGATCACGAATCCGGTGGATGAATCCGGGATGAATCAACTCGGGCTTGACACTAAGACTACGGTTTATGTTTCGACTGCTTCCCCGATAGGATTTGGATGTCGCAACGTCATCGTTGTCATGGAAACTGATGAAAATCTCGAAGGTGAAGATGTAGATCAGATGCCACAGGACAAAAGAAGAGAGAGGGAAACCATGTAGTGTATTTTATCAACATGTATAAGTTGTGAGAGACATCAAGCAACAAGTTTCCCGATACAATTTTTTTCTTCATCTCAATACACTGTAGTTCTTCTACTTTTTCTCGTTCCTGTTGTTGTTTTTGTTGCTGTTGGTGTTCTTCTTCTTCTCTTTCTTCTTCTCATCCTCCTCCTTCTTCTTATTCTTCTTCTTCCTCTTCTTCTTCTCATTATTCTCCTTTTTCGTCTCTTTGTTCTTCTCTTCTTCTTATTATAATCATTTTTATTATTGTTGGTATTATTTCGATAAATGTACTTTTGGGTGTTAATATTGTTATTACTAATTTACTATTATTAGTAGTATTATCATTATTGCCTTTATTATTATTATCCTTATTATCGTCACTTTAATATTGATCCTCTTTTCGTTATATATATTGATCTTCTTCTTCTTCTTACTGAAAACATATCAAACAAAATGTGACCCCAAACTACAACTGAGAACATTTTGTTACGAAAGGCGTTACAATGGAAAATATGTAATTCCACCTTACACGTGTAAAATCCTATTTGTTAATTTTGAATATGTTTTGTTTCACTAAATGATTATACATAGTGGGACAAGTTGCATGTCTTACTGAGAACTTCTAAAAGTATCTATGCAGTGCATTCCGGGGAACTAATTAATGCAATCAATTATGCACTGACCGCTGATTGGACGTATACTCGTATAATTGTGACGTCGGCGTATTCATTACGTGTCGTCCAATGGGCGCGCCGGAAAGGGTACCCCTTTCGAGAGAAATTCTAATGAATGAATGAACTGCGTGCGAACCACCATCATGCACACAGTACACACGATACAGCTCAACTTTTCTGCCGCTGAAGTTACTTGTTTACAGCTAGCTGCTCCATACATGCTGGATTTTCAATAGAACTTCCCAAGGTAAACGAAGCGTAGCAGGGCCATCGCTTCTCCCGTATAAAAAGCCCAGGTGAGCCAAAATTTGATCTTAGTTGGTGGTGATTGATGCTCTGTCCACATGCCTCCGGAGACCACATGAAATTATCTGTGGATTCTTCTTTTGCGGCTCTTATTTGATTTATATCATGCAACAAGCTCGTTCATCCAGAGCCCGTCTTCAACTTGTTGCGCTGGTTTGACACACACTTCATGCAAGAGCCGTGGTCTCCAGCAAGTTGACTTTCTGTACGTGTATGCCAGCGAACGTCTTCACTCTTCGTATTCGTAGACTGGAGTTTTCCTAGGATATAAATAATATTATTTTGTTCGTCTTTAATTCAACGTCGACATTTTGAGGTGCTACTTCGCGTTAGCCTGTAAGTTGTCAACTGTTCAGCAATGTCGCTGTCACATGTCATGATGTTTTTCAATAATAAAATTATGTTAATTTAATGATTTTGTTTTTAAATAGACATCTTCAAGAATGTTCTTGACATAGGCCTATATCTTTTGAATTGTGTGTGGTTAAAACTGAAATGGTGCATGGTGCGAAGATAAAATTACTTCAGTTTAGATCTGTGCTGGGAATTCATGTACGTATCACTATCAACTAAAACGTAGTTGAAGCAAGGTAAAGAGATGGCCGAGTTTTGCTCGAGTTTGACACATCATCTTATCTTAGTTATCTTGAGTTTCTTTGAGTGGCAAGATTAGGCAGATAATGGGTTTATTTTCTTCCCTTCAGCATTTTGAATCTCATGTGGGCTACTCGGCCGACTGTTTCTTATTTTCAACCCCACTGTCTTTCAATCTTTGTCATTTTCTTCAAACCTGTCAGAATAATAAATATACTTGTGGATAAATATTTCAAACATGTCAAAAGGTTGATTGTTCTAGACAGATATAAATAAAAGTACATTAGTAGGCCTACAAAGTTTCCAGGCTTCTCATTAATGTTGGTACATGTTTTCGCTACAACTGCAAGTATTGCCCTCTGTTCCAAATTCATTCTCTTGTGTTTTTGTTTTTTAAAACCATGTTGCTATAAATTATATAACAGTCTAGCTTTGTCTACCCTTGTTTTATTCAAATTAACCAGTCCCTCAACATTTCATCTCAATTTCAGCATCGCCACACGTACAGAAGCCGAGTAATTCCTGGTCGACGTCGAGTTCGACCTCCAACAAGAGCCGCGCGGCTGAGCATCAATCATGGCGTCTATGCACTGTTCGTTCCCTCCAGACTTTCATCAACTGCAGCCTCGTCCCAGCATGCATCTGGACGAATGCTGCCAAGTTCCTGATGTGATGAACCGTAAAAGGAGGCCCCACAAGCTTATCATACAGAAGGTATGAGCCCACTTATTCAAAATATAAAACAAATACTGACTAGTCTTACATACATGTACATGTATGTCTAACTTTTGAATTTAGGACTATGTATCAGTAAGCATGTACATGTAGTAGACAGCTTTTTACTTTAAACCTTCCCTGCAAAAGTCATTCAAAATCATTTTTCATTTTTTAGGCCACTAATTGATCATGGCAGCTTCAGATTATTGTTCTTTTTTGAAAGCTTTGAAAATTGGATGTTCTGTTGCCATATCAGGCATTCCTCTGGCAGACCTGGTCATTGGCTGTCAATGCATTTGATAAAGGGTATGCAACTCTGCACAAAGTATACATGTACATTTGAATACATTGTGGTACAATGTAGACTAATTTTATGCGTATTTCCAGTAAGCAAAAGATGCTCTTTTCTCCTGATGAATTGCCTTGCCAGACATAGCAACACCCAATGTAAGGTGGAATGTTGCTATAGATAATTATTTAAGTAAACTGGGGGTTATGAAAAGAATTTACATTTGAATGGAGCATTGAACTTTGTCTATTCAGCTTTTGTGTGATTGGCATGTCATTGGTGGGAATTTTAGTTTGTGCAGACATTTTTTAAAGTTCCTTAAGTTCCACTTGTAGATCAGGAATGCCATGCTAGTGAAGATTTTGGGAGGCCATTCAACTAATTAACATGTGCATACAGAGAAAGTTGCCTGGTATTTTAATTGCCAGAATCTTAATCTAGTCCTTAAAGTCGAGAACCAAAATAGCTTGAATACCCCAGCACCCAGCAGTAGTACAGGTAGTCATTCCATTCAAGATAGATGTTGAGTGTTCTGACGACTGGACAAAGAATAGTTTGTAAACTTTTTATGCAGAAAAACACATCTGAATGTACTTAAGAATTTTTGCTATCATCAATGGTCCTGCAAGATCCTGTGCTGGGTATAGTTTTTGACACATTCTTGTTGCTCATAAATATTTTGCTTTACTAAATTTACACAAGTCCCCTCCTTCGTCCTCTGGCATAACTATCTTATTTGTAGATTACAGTATGTATTGTTCTCTCTTGAATGTAGATTTTTTTTTAAAATTAGGCAATTAAATGTCATTCAAGTTAAGATTTAATTATAGAGGTGGTATGTAGAGGATAAATTAGGTTCAACTCCAGTAATGTGTTTCCCAGTAATAATACCTATGACTTAAACGTAATTCACATTCATTGTTAAGATGGATTTGACACAGATACCTAAATCGTAGGTAATCTCCGTTTCCACCATAACCCGAATAAACAATACTCTTCAAGAGGTTACAGAGTTCAGACTCATTTTGAACCTAAAATGGCTGGTTAGAAAACTTACACAAGAAGGCAAGTTCAACGCGAGGTCTGCCATCAAAAATAGGATTGTGGCGGAGGTGTTGCTATTGTGAGTTAGTGAGGCAAGGCATTCCATTGTTAATATCCCAGAATAATAAGTGGTTCTATAACTGTCGAGGCGCCAGCATTTTAAGCAGCTTTTCACCCAAATTCATTGTGATGTCACAGTTCACGCTCTGTTGCAATGGTTTTGTTTTTCATCGGACCTAAATCAGAATGTCCTTGTTGATAATTTGTTGTCATTTTGTTAGGAATTGGGAGTAACATTTTGAGTACCGGTAGGAAAATATATTAGAATCTTCATCCTAAAACATGGATGAGTCTAAGGGGACATTGCAGGGATTTAAAACTAATTCAAAGATAATCATCCACTTAAAATGGACTTCTGTCTAGATTGAACCATACATGACCACATGTATTTGTTGCTATGTTGGCAAGCCTCAGACAAGCTTTGGGGTTGTCAAGATTCGAGAACAACCTTCCTCCCAGTATGCATACAAAATGTTAGTAAAATCTGGCTATTGCATTCATGACCAGTAGTCGACTTGTCATGAGGTGCAAAGGTTGAAAGTTTTATTCTAACACCTCATCACATTGTCCTATATTAACAACATATCGACAAACAATTCAGATTAACTTCTAGATTGTTTGTTATTGCAGTTTTATGCAAGCAAGCACTCGAGCTTATCTTGAAAGGGATGTGTTTAACTGGAGGAAGTGAAGGTATTGATAAAAAAGGGATTAGACTCTGTAATCCTCTGAGGGTTCAGTCACTTCAGTGTGTCTCGATATGGCATTCACACAATGGTTGAATTGGGAAGTAGACTTGGGGGGTTGCCATTAGATCATGACTCCCTTTTTCCTTTTCATTCTTCTGCTTGGCTTTTCCTGTAAGCTGAAAAGGAAAAGCTTCCGAAAGCTTGCTTGTGTGTGCCATTTATAGTGCTAAGCTGGTCATTCAACTTGGGGCATGACTGACGCCTTTTGCAACAGGCTGTCAAAGCGTACTGTGCACAGTTATAAATATATGGGCTTACTGTCTCATCCCTTCTGTAAGTTCTGTTCAGTGACTTAATGGGCAAAAGAAGGGGGAAAAGTGGGGGAGGGGGAAGAGGGGGGGGGGGGGGGGGGGGGGGGGGGGGGGGGTCATGGTTAATTAAAGTTTTTCTTGTTCAGTGTAACATGTTGGCATACATGTACTTTGCTATGAAAGTGTTTCTGTGGGAGCTCGATGATTAATTTTATATCTCAGATTTTCTTTTTAGTGATTCTTTATTTTTATTATATTTATATTACAACTGTACTTGTGAAGATGATGATTACTGGTATTAGTACTTCCTCCAATCTGTATTTGTCATGGCCATTTGCTATATATTAAATGTACTCCATACTGAAAGAGAGGTGAAGGAGGAGGGAGGGAGAAAAGAGAGCGAGAGAAGGGGGGGGGGGGTGGAAGAGAGACTGGGGAGAGGGGTAGGCTGTACATGTAAAAAGGGGATGATAGAGAGAGACAGAGATCTGAGGGGATATACAAAATGGGGAGAGTCTCACTTCAGGAAATTTTGAGAAGAAGCGTGGGAGTCCAAGATAGAGAGATCATTCCCTTTTTCATTTCTCTAAGGAGAAATTGAGAAGTATCGATAGAAACCAGAGGCAAAAGGCTTTCAGGCACTCAAAGAAACTCTCGGGAGGATGGAATCATTGAAACTACATGTCAAGCACCGGGAAAAGATTGATAAATCTGGCAGCTTTCAGAGCACCGACTACATATTTTCATACTGCTCCTTAGCCTTGCTTTCATTTTTACATGTTGTGTATGTTTTGTTCATTTTTATTTCTCTGTTTTTGTATAAGTGTTAGGCAAATATACATGTGTTTGTTCTTTTTCATGTACCTCCAATCCATAAGGATAAGTGCATTCAGGTACAACTACAAAGATCGATTTAAGTACTTTTCTGTGCGAGGGCTTCGTTACAAACTTAAGACAGGTGGATTAACCCTTCAAAATATTCCATTTACATGTATACATGTACATTTTGGACAAAAGAATTTCTTTTCTTTGAATTTAACATTTTTATGGATTTTATCCCTTTGGTCTTGTGTCTTTCCTACATAGTTCATAGTTCCCTTTGAGTTCCCATTACTCGCATTCGTTTTTTTTATTGAATATAGGAACAGAAAGCTTGTTCAAGCCTACAGCAGGGCTCCGCACCGGCCTTTCAGTTTTAGAAGGTGGTCCAAATATGCATAAGACCTACATGTACAGTACATACATCTATGACTATGTAAAAATGGCAAAATTTAGAGGTCTAGCCCTGCCCAAAGACTAATACTTGAATACTCACAATGATACACAGCAATGTAATGCCGAACAGTAAACAAGAATACATGAAGTCACACCAAAGTACGATGTTGGTGCGTAAATGAACCAATTGCCATGCGACACTACTCTGGAAATGATTATTCAACTTATAGCGTGCTAAATCCTGCGATGAATTATTGAATTTAATCCAGCCATTACTCTCCTTAAAACTCAACTATCTTGATGAATGCCTGCCTCGCGAGCCTGTGATATTTTGTCGAAAAATCTGTCTTGATCGTTGCGACATCAAAGCGGCGACAACTCGTCACCGAGGGATTTCTGAGTCTTAGAGTTGTCGGGATCGTTCCTCATTAGATAGGATTTTAATCAGATGCTCTCTATAAATTTAGTGCGACTTCCAGACTTTGTGGCTTCTTTGCTGTATGGCTTTGGATATATTTTCCTCCTCTGCAGTATGTGGGTAGTGTTCTTGTTCATTCTAATTTTTTAGAAATTAAGGAAGGTTATGCCTAGAAATGTATTTTATTCATACTAGTACATGTACATGGTAGGCATACATACATATGGTATCCATACAAAAAGAAAAGGAGGAATATCCCAAAGCGGGTCCATTCCAACGCCGTTTTATTTGTACCGTAGATACATGTAGGAACTTAACAAGAAGTACCAAGACCAAGATAAATTCTAGTAAGACACACAAAATGAAAGTAAGCTTTTTAACAGTTTAAAACACTTGATAATTTTGATATGCCTTCTAATACTGTAATTAGGATATACAATATGTAATTTCACTTTTGACAAAACGCAACAACATCATGTATTTTCTAAAAATCTACTTCAATACCCTATGGTATGTCCATTAGAAATTGTCTTCACATTATGTAATACGTCAGTGTAATGTCTGTACAGGCATGCTCAAGGCTACTGAAACTGCCTCGGTTAATTTTTGTAGTACTATTATTGATATCTTATTCATTCAAAATTGCAAAATTTCATGAGTGTTTTAAATCCTCTTGAGAGAAGTTAATTACTGGAATATGGGCAGCATTCAGGCTACATGTGTATGTACATGTATCTGTACATTGTACTTCTAAACACTATTATCTCAATGGGTCTGAAAACGTAGACTGATCCATCAAACGTGAGATTTCAATCATTTTCTCGAGGATGCCAGCACAGGGACAGCTGTGTGATTTTTGAATGACATTTTCCAACGGATTTCATGTTTTTTAACTCTGGCGTCATCTTGATGTGTTATGATACGCTTCAGACTAGTGTGTTGTTGACTACAATGTCTTAAATGTATGAATG